ATAATCACTTCCGGTTGCCACCAAATCTATAAAATCACTTCAACAGAAAGACTGTTCCCCAAAACCTTGGGGAGAATGTCAATCTCAAGAATGTTTGTTCTTTAGAGCAGGAGTAGCATGTGTTTAGTTTACCTCTAATATGTCACAGTCTTACTCTTTGAAAATTCTTTGAGTCCATGTAATGAACACATTCCATATCAGAACTTGTTTTGCTTCTTTTATTCGAATGATGTTAAACTCTGTCAAACTTTGAATAAAAATGATTTGTCAGAATTTGCTCTTTTACTTTGAAGGGTCTATTATTTTTATATGTTATAATTCATTTTCTTCCCTTAAGAATCAAATGTGTAGTTAGTTGGTAGCTGTGCTTCCTGTTGATATTTTATTTGATGTGTTTTGAGTTGAATTCAGTTCCAGAGATATGTGTACTTTCCAGGTCTTGAATGAGGCTCTAGGATAGCATCTCACAAAATATGCCTGAGAGAATATTGACTTGATTTTTCTTTTAAAAGTTATATGCTTAGAAGTTTAGAAAGTTGTCTTTATTTCATGTTACTGTAACATAATACCTGAGACTGGGTAATTTATAAAGAACTTAATTAATTTTTTTATAGTTCTCAAGGCCAGGAAGTCCAAGATCAAGTTCCTGACAGGATTGATGTTTGATGAGGGCTACTTTCTACTTCCAAGATAGCGCCTTGTTGCTGCTTTTTCTTGGGGGATGAACAGTGTATCCTCAAAGAAGGAATGGGAGGGCAAGAAAGCATTCCCTTCAATCTCAAACTCTTTATAAAAACTCATGAAGTTGGAGTCCGCATGACTTAATGATCTCCCAAAGGCCATACCTTTTAATACTGTTGCATTGAGGATTAAGTTTTCACATGAATTTTGGAAGGGATACCATCATTCAATCCGTAGTAGAAGTGCTAGTGGTAATAAAGTTTAGTGAGTCTCTTTTTCATAGGACCTTTCAGAGCCTAAAATTTTATAATATGCCTTGACTTATTTTTAAGATAGCTATTTTATAGCATGCTTCCTAAATCTATTTAGTCCTTGTAGAACCTGGAACCTTTGATTACTATAGCATTTTGCAGAGACATTCCTTAAGAAATATGATAGGGATACAAAGATAATTAAAAATATAAGTAACCACTTTGGGACATCATATGCACAATAATTACATACAATTTTATTTTTCAATTAAAGATAGAATAAAAAACATGAAATGCTTCATAGCTCTCAGAATACTTCATACTCCAGTGTCTAATACAGAATAATTTTGGTAAATGGTCTTGGAATTGCCAAGATGCCAGGCTTAATTTTTTTTAGCAATTTTAACTGAATATAAAAATCATATAAGAATTCAAATGTTAATTATGATATTTATTCACCAAGACCAAAGAATACTGACTTTTTTAAAAATAAGATGATGACATCATTAAAACATCTGGTAATTAAGAATCCATCCAGAGATTGAGATGAATTCCATTTTATCAAATAAGTCACTTTGTAAACAGTTCTGCAAAGGGTCCTAAAATAGAAAAGCATCCAGCATGGCCTATGTCATTTATAAGGTCCCTTGATGCTAGCCTTTTCTTCTTTTCCTGAAGCCCTAAGATTTCATATGAATTAAAAAGTAAATTTACATTTTTGAGCAATGATGAATGTTTGGAAGGAAAAGAAATTAAGAACAGTATGAAGTGAATGACAGTTGTTATGCGTGGGGTTCCAGAGCCAACATTATAACTCTGTCACTAGTGCCTTGTGTGTGTGTGTGTGTGTGTGTGTGTGTGGAGATGTGTGGAGGTGTGTGGGAAATGGTAGTTCTCTCCTGTTTTTCGTATACCTACAGATCTCATCTACAAATGAGGGACTGGATCAAGCAACATCTGGGGTCGTCTCTATATCTGACCTCATTGTTTTGTAAGCATGCCTCACTTTAGCAAAACCTTGTAGAGAAGCCAGAACTTATAGATAATATATTGACAGTCTGCTTTGCAGAAAATATCCTTCACTATAGGGAAATCATTGTGTGGTCCTTTTCAAGTTGAGTTTTATACGTTTCCCCATAAATTCACTTATAACTCACAATGTTTTTTTTTTTAATGTAACAAAAGTAAATGTCACAAAGTTTTAAGAAATATAACATGATTTTTAAGAGGTTTTGTGCTATTGATTAGTTCTGTTAGTGAATAAAGTTTATCTTTTAAGACTCAAGAATCCAAATGTACTTATTTCACTTAAAACATGTGGTAATTAATTTTTAGAGCATTTCCTTATTTCATTTCCTCATGAAAATAAAATGCATTCCAAGATGTATTTTTGTTCCTTCCCCATTAAATTTTTAAAAATTTATAGTGAAATGCATATAACATGAAAATTGCCATTTCCATCATTTTTAAGTGTACAATTAAGTGGCTATAATTGTTTCACAATGTTGTGAAGCCATCACAACTGGGTCTATACCTTTGTGCTATAATATCCTACCTAGATAAGTATGGGAAAAGGGAGAAATTCTTGGTGTAGAGTAGTTAAATGATTTTTTAAAGATAATTCTAGCACTTTGGATCTGGATTAAGTAAATCCATTGTAGTTGGACCTAATTGGGTAGAATTCAGTTCAGCAAATACCTTACTCAATGGCTGATTTTGTTAGGTACAGATAGTCCAGTGTCACAGTGTTCTTAAGGTAATGAGTATTCCAGGCAAAACAGTGGTGGAGGTATGTCTAATATTTGCTGTCATGCTCTCTCCCTCTGACCTTTGAATTCTCTGGTGGTCTCAAGTTACTACCGTAGGTTTCTCTCTTGCTCATAATATCTATTGGGCAATTGGGACAGCAATCTGGTCATGTGTATAAGGAACAGATTTTTCCTCCACTCTGGAAATGATGTTGTCTCATGAGTATGCTCTCTTTGACTCCTGATTTGTAATCTTAAGTCTTTGGGTAAATTAAGTTACTCATCCCAACAGAGATTGGAGGCCAGTCTAATTCTTCTATTTGAGGGAAGCCCCAGAGAGTTGGAACTAATAGTGATGAACTTAGAACTAAAACGCACAAATTCTGTCCAATAGTGGACAGGACAGGGTCAGTAGAAAAACCTATGAATAAATCTCCAGTGTCTTATGCTTTTTCCTGAATTCGAAATTTAGAGCTTGGCAGAATGGATGTGTTTATCTAGTTCTAATCCTTTCTGTTAAAAATGAGGAAATTAACATAGAGTGACTGTAAACTCAAATACATGTAACCAGTCAGTTGCAAAACTAGAACTAGACACTCATATGCTAATTGCCCTAATACCAAATATATAAGAATGTGCCTCTGTGTTTACCTCTAATAGTTTATTTTCCTGAAAGTTACTTGGTAGAATTATCATTGCTATATTATAGTTGGGTTCTTACCATCCATGTAGGAGAGACCTGGGTTGAGTTGCTGGCTCTTGCTTTTGGCCCTGGCCATTGCAGGCGTTTGAGGAGTGAATCAGTTAGGGAGCACACACACACACACACACACACACCTCTTAAATAAATATATAATAAATAAATTTAAAGATTTCCATCTTCTGGTTCATTCCTCAAATGCTTGCAACAGAAAGGGCTGAGCCAAGCTGAAACCAGGAACCAGGAACTCCATGTAGGTTTCCCATGTGGGTGGCAGGAGCTCAAGTACTGCTACTAACACTGCTTCTCAGGCTCATTAATGAAAGCAGAGCAGCCGGGACTTGAACCAAAACTCCAATACGGGATGCTGGTGTTGCAAGCGGTGCCTTACCTGCTGTGCCACAATGCGTGTCCCTTAACAAAAATATTAAAAAGCTGAAAATAGGGCTAGAGATACTACCTGTAATTGGTAGACAGTACCAATTATATAACTGTCACAAGAATTAAGTGAATACCTGTAAGTTTTGGAAAAATAGACTCGTATATAGTGAGCACTCAATACCTGTACTATATTAGTTCATCTTATGCTGCTATATCTGAATACTGTAGCCTGAGTAATTTATAATAAGCAAATTTATTTGGCTCATGATTCTATAGACTGGCCAGAGGTGCTTCATCTGCCAAGGGCTTCTTACTGCATCATAACATGGTGGAAGGCATCAGTGGCAAAAGGGTGCACACAAGAAAGCCAAACTCTGTTATAGCAAACCCATAATTAACAAACCTATTCCCATGACAATGACATTATCCATTTCTGTGGGCAGAGCACTCATGATATAATGGCCTCTTGAAAGTCATACCTCTCAACACTTTTGCATTAGGAATTAAGTTTCTAACACATGGACTTTAGGGGATACATTCAAACCACAACTTCTGATAACATACCAATATGTACTACTAATACAGTACTAGTTACTAATAATGTTTTCATTCTTATTTTGGCTGTTGTTGGAAGACTAAGGTAAAGGCAACACATGAATGTGTAATCCTGTTACACTTCTCCGACAAGTGCAACACTTTTGACCTGTGGAAGCTTTTGACTACTTGGATGTAAATATCAGTATTTTATTAATAAATATTTTGTCTAAAATTGTTTGGAACCAGATGGTTCCACTAAGCCAAGTTAATTCCTTGATCAATATTCTGTACTACATTAGTACCTTTTTCCTTTTCACATTTATTTTCCTAAAAGTATATTTATTGGAATTAGTCCTTTTTTGTTTAAATCCTAAAACCAGGAATTTTTAAATATCAAATTTTATTAATTATGGCTTCCACCACTGTATGTTGTGCTTTGCAGTGAAATTGCAGTACGTTAATTTTTCTTTGTCATTATATACTAATGCTAATCAGTATAGCTGTTTTTTTTTTTTTTTATTTTTTTGACAGGCAGAGTGGACAGTGAGAGAGAGAGACAGAGAGAAAGGTCTTCCTTTGCCGTTGGTTCACCCTCCAATGGCCGCCGCGGCCGGCGCGCTGCGGCCGGCGCACCGCGCTGATCCGATGGCAGGAGCCAGGAGCCAGGTGCTTTTCCTGGTCTCCCATGGGGTGCAGGGCCCAAGCACCTGGGCCATCCTCCACTGCACTCCCTGGCCACAGCAGAGGGCTGGCCTGGAAGAGGGGCAACCGGGACAGAATCCGGCGCCCCGACCGGGACTAGAACCCGGTGTGCCGGCGCCGCAAGGCGGAGGATTAGCCTAGTGAGCCGCGGCGCTGGCCAGTATAGCTGTTTTTTAAAAAGAAAGACTTGGGGCCCATATTGTGGGGTAGCAGGTTAAGCCACTGCTTGTGATGCCAGCATTCCATATGAGCACTGGTTCAAATTCCGGCTTCCCCATTTCCAGTCCAACTCCCTGCTAATGCTCCTGGGAAAGCAGTGGAAGACAGCCTGAGTGCTTGGGCCCCTGCACCCATGTGGGAGGTCCAGATGGAGTTCCTTGGATCCTGGCTTCAGCCTAGCCCCAGCCCTGGCCATTGCAGCCATTTCAGGAGTTAACCAGTGGGTAGAAGATCTCTCTCTTTCCCTCTCTCTCTGTAACATTAAAAAGAAAGCCTTATACACCGTCTTGATGATTCTGTTTCATTTAAAATGCATTTGTGATTCCCTTGCTGATCTCTTCACCAACATTCCACACCTTGATATTGTTATTAACACTTTTTTTCAAAACACCTCAGTAACCTGGAATCAGAGAGCATAAGCAGGGGTAGACTGATGTTATTGATGACTAGGAGAATGAAATGGCTTAGTCTTAGAGTAAACCAAGATGTTCTGTATCAGGAGCTGAGGGTGGCAAAGTGAAGAAGACTAAAATGGTTTCACAAATGCCCTCAAGAAACTGAGTCATGAAAAGAAAATCTAACAGGAAAATAAGACTGACTGAAACTGACAGAAGAACTGAAAAGTATTAGTCTGGTGTCTTTCAAATATTCATTGTCTCTGATTAGTTCCACTGTAGGCAAAGATATAAATATAGAATTTTGCTTTTTATAAAGCATATTATTGGGGCTGGCACTGTGGTGGGGTGGGCTAAGCCTCCACCTGTGGCACCAGCATCCTGTATGGGTGCTGGTTCAAGTACTGGCTGCTCTTCTTCCGATCCAGCTCTCTGCTATGGCCTGGAAAAGCACTAGATGGCCCAAGTGCTTGGACCCCTGCACCCACATGGGAGACCCAGAGGAGGCTCCTGGCTCCTGGCTTTGGATTGGTCCAGCTCTGGCCATGCTCTGGCTGTTGCGACCATTTTGGGGAGTGAACTAGTGAATGGGAGACCGTTCTGTCTGTCTCTCCCTCTCACTGTCTGTAACTCAGCCTCTCAAATAAATAAATACAATTTTTTAGAAAAAGCACATTATTGAAACTATTCCCTTACTGAGAGATTTCTTCGTTTAGGGTAGGAATCTCCAAAATCTTAGATAAAGCAGTAAACACATATTTGCTCTAATGGGCTTAACATTATGTATTATGGTTGATAGTTTAATTTATTTAATGTTTTATTAAGCTTGAGAAACATTGTATATTTGCATCAAGTACTAATCCTGATTAGTAAGTATTTGTTACCATTTATGTTTGTTTCTGTTCTGTGGGGAAAAAAATGACAAGGATAACCTTTGCTAATTTGATGCATTGCTACAACTATCATTTCTTTTTTATTTCCCACTTTATTTGAAAGATAGACAAAAGCATCTTCCATCTGATGGGTCATTCCACAAATAACCGTAATAGTTGAGGCTGTGCTAGGCCAAAGCTCAGAGCCAGGAACTGCCTCCCAGAGTTTGCAATAATAGGAAGCTGGATTCTGGGATCCTGCCTTCTCTCTATCCCAGACCTGGCTGTTGCAGCCATCTGGAAAGTGAACCCACTGATGGAAGATTGATATTTTCTTTCTCTCTCTCTCTGAATAAATAAGGTACATCTTTTTTTTTTTTTTTAATAGTAAGCTAAAATCAGAAGCGGAGCTGAGATTCAAACCCAGGCATTCTAAAATGAGCTGTGGGCAACACAAGCAATGTCTTAACCACTATACCAAATGCCTTCCGCATATGTTCTGGAAACTAAAATACATTTTATCTAGCAGAGTGAAGGTTTTTATTTTATTTTTTTTTATTTTTTATTTTTTATTTATTTTTTTTTTTTGACAGGCAGAGTGGACAGTGAGAGAGAGAGACAGAGAGAAAGGTCTTCCTTTGCCGTTGGTTCACCCTCCAATGGCCGCCGTGGCCGGCGCGCTGCAGCCGGCGCACCGCGCTGATCCGATGGCAGGAGCCAGGAGCCAGGTGCTTTTCCTGGTCTCCCATGGGGTGCAGGGCCCAAGCACCTGGGCCATCCTCCACTGCACTCCTGGGCCACAGCAGAGGGCTGGCCTGGAAGAGGGGCAACCGGGACAGAATCCGGCGCCCCGACCGGGACTAGAACCCGGTGTGCCGGCGCCGCAAGGCGGAGGATTAGCCTAGTGAGCCGCGGCGCCGGCTGCAGAGTGAAGGTTTAAGCTGAGCAATTGCTTGCAAAAAGAATGATTAGTCTTGCTCAATAGTGTGTTATGTATAGGTGAGATTTTTAGCATAATGTGATTTCCTTAGCTGGTATTGGATTTATTTTATCTGTCCAAGAAATGAAAGCAGCATATATATAGTACTTTGGATTATGTTTATTGTAGATCAGCTAACTATTTATAGGGAATCAGTATAAAACAAGCTTAAGAAGTCTAGTCTGTTATATAGAAGTAACAAGCTACAATCTCATCAAGGATGGTAACTCTGCAGTTCAGTACTGTGCAAGTACCAAGAGTTGGTAATGGCTTCTTTGTGTTACTAGAAAGAATTGTGGTCTATCATTTTTTTTTCAGCTGATAAACTCTTTGTTACTTGGTGCTTTCAGTGTTATTTAATAATAGAATTACAGCCTAAGTAAAATAGGACTGTACATTGGAACACATTTCTTCTCCTCTGTTTTAAGCAGTTCTGTGAAAGATGTTTGAGGAAACCCTAATTGCCTACAGCCCTGCAATGAATTGCACAACAGATATATTGTTTTAAAGTCTTGGTTCTTGGCATGCATTTTTCACCTTTTACTTCAGTAAAAGGAGCACTTAATGTTAAGCAGTATAAATATGTCTTTCTAGGCAACATAATTGGATTCTCATTTTTTCCTAAGGAAGAAAGCAAGGTTAGTGGTAACTATGCATTTCTTTTCAGGTTGTTCTTGAGTGGAGTCGGATTTGGGTCAAGGTCAAAAATACTTATTTCATCTTTGTTTCTGCTAAAATTTGAGGGTAATTGTAGAATGGCTACCTATTTAGGAGAAAAAAGCCTTCATACAATTTTGCATTTTAGGTAATATTCAGATGGCATCACTTCAGTTCTCTTATTTGTTATTAATTTTGACAAAACACTTTTCTATAGGGTTTTTATTTATTTTATCATTCAACCATGAGGTAACTGCTTGCATGAGGACACACACAGAATAATTGGAAAGTCCATGGCTTTAGCTAATGTGTTAGACATATTATACAAGACTAGTTCTAGATTAGTTCCATGAGATGATTTGAATTGTCAAATTCACCTAAAACAAGGTATGTCTAAGAAACAGGCACAGCCAAGAGGAGCCTGAGGAGCCATGACAACTAAATGTGATGGGGTATCCTGGATGGAATTCTGGAACAGTAAAAGAACATTTAGGTAAAAACTAAGGAAATCTGGATAATGAATGGACTTCTGTTAATACTGATTTATCAGTATTGCTTCATTAGTTAAAACAAATGTGCCAATGTAAAAGAGAATGTTAATAATGGAGGAACTAAGTACAGGGTATATGGAAACTCTTGGTACAATCTTTTTTTTTTTTTTTGACAGGCAGAGTTAGACAGTGAGAGAGAGAGACAGAGAGAAAGGTCTTCCTTCCGTTGATTCACCCCCCAAATGGCCGCTACGGTTGGCGCGCTGCACCAATCCAAAGCCAGGAGCCAGGTGCTTCCTCCTGGTCTTTCATGCGGGTGCAGGGGCCCAAGCACTTGGGCCATCCTCCACTGCCTTCCCGGGCCACAGCAGAGAGCTGGAGTGGAAGAGGAGCAACCGGGACTAGAAACCAGCGCCCATATGGGATGCTGGTGCCGCAGGTGGAGAATTAACCAAGTGAGCCATGGCGCTGGCCCCTCTTGGTACAATCTTTATAATTTTTATGAAAATCTAAAACTATTCTAAAAACTGAAGTTTACTTTAAAACAGAATAGTATCGTAACATGTGCTCTGACTTTCTTTTTAGATGATCTCTTGGTGATGAGGTAAGAGAAGTATTTAAGAAGAGCAAGAGCAGACTTACCCCAATGGTACAGTTAGAAACGTGCCAGGGGATTCCAATTCAATCCCATCAAGGTGGCATGTACCAAAGTCATCTCACTAGTCAAAGTGATCAGTTTTAGTTCACAATTGATCATAATGATAGGATTAAGTATCAAAGGGATCACATAAATAAGACTAGTGTCTGCTAATAATAACTGATAGAATTAAAAAAGAATGATCCAACATGGGAAGCAGGATACACAGCAGACTCCTAGAATGGCAGATGTCCTAAACAGCACTCTGGCCTCAGAATCAGCCCTTAAGGCGTTCAGATCTGACTGAATAGCCCATCAGAGTTTTGCAGGCAGGGAAAGACAAGACTCTGTGGCAAAGAAAAAAAAAAAAAAAGCAAAGCCTAAATGAAAGATCTCTGTGAGTGAGATCCCAGTGGAAAGAACAGGTCATCATCAAAGAAGGAGGTACCTTTCTCTGAAGGGAGGAGAGAACTTCCACTTTAACTATGGCCTTGTCTAAAACAGATCAGGGTTGGCGAACTCAAGAGGCTTCCATAGCCTTGGCAGCTCATGACAAGAGCCTAGGGTGATTACTGATGCCATAAATAAGAGTGTCAGTTGTTAAGTCAACAACAGGAGTCACTGTGCACTTACTCCTCATGTAGGATCTCTGTCCTTAATGTGTTGTACTATGTGAATTAAGGGTATAACGAGTACTCAAACAGTGCTCTATACTTTGTGTGTCTCTGTGGGTGCAAACTGTTGAAATCTTTTCTTAGTAAATACTAAGTAGATCTTCTGTATATAAAGATAATTGAAAATGAATCTTGATGAAGAATGGGATGGCAGAGGGAGTGGGAGATGGGATGGTTGCAGGTGGGAGGGAGGTTATGGGGGCAAAAAGCCGGTATAATCCAAAAGTTGTACTTTGGATATTTATATTTATTAAATAAAAGTTAAAAAAAAAGAAAAAAGAAAAGAAGAGCAAGAGGAGCAGAGGTAGGGGTGAGCTGTGAGATCTAAACTCTGACAATCCCAATAATGTAGTATCAGTTCTTGGAGAAGAACAATTAAAATAGAATTGACACACTGAATTCACCTGTAGTAGAATTGAAGCAGTAGGAACACGGTCATTTAACATAATCTGAAGCCTTTAAGCTGAATGCATTATGTGATTGAGATCAACACTTGCTGGAAACATCTAAGTGATGAGTAGGTAACTTAGTTCTGCAAAAGTGCTGCATAGTAGATCTTTTAGTCCTTGCAAGCCATACAGTTTTTGTCACAACCATTCAGCTCTGCTTTTGTAGTGAAAAAGCAGTCATGGACAACATGTAAACAAATGACTGTGTTTCAGTAAAGCTGTGTTTACTGAAACAGGCTACAATCTAGATTCACCCTATGGCCTGTAGTTTGCTGACTCCTGAATTAAGTGATCATCATATTGCCCAGCTCCATTAGGTACTTGGTAGTGTCACTTTTAAGAATGCATAAATGAATGCAGTCTTGTCTGAGCAAGATAAAATAGTATTCCATCCTTCTGTTTGCAAGGAGAATGAAATGGCAGCAACGGAGGGATAGGTGTGCATGGTTTACTTGTAAATATACTCATTTGTCTTTGGAAGCTCCCAGGGCAGTTTATTAACCATGATCTTTTTAGGTTTAGTCTGATTATATTACTTTTTTTTATTTATATCTGATTTTACTGTGACATAGTATTCAGCCTCCTCTAGGGAAACCCTGTACCACTTGTCTTTCCACAAAGTTTCTAACTTGTGCTTAAAGTACTGGTTCCCCAAGTGCATGATTTATATTGTGGTAGACTGTTTTTAGATGGTACTCCAACAACTCATTAAAATAAACAGAAAAAAAAACAGAAAGAATTCTCTGTAGTCTTCAGTTTTCCTGATTTAAATACCGTTGAGAAAAATCTGTTCAGTTTTAAAGATAAATAACTGAAATAGCCTCTTTTTATGTTGTTTGTTTAAGTAAGAATATCCCTCAAGTTCACAACATTTGGAAGAAGGTAACAGTGCCTCCCTACACTTTTGTGGTACCATTATTTCAGTCTGTTCTATTTATTTTTACATTTACCTTCCATTTATGGCAAATGATGCTATTTCCCATTAGTGGATGCTGTGTAATTTAAAAATTTCTATTTATTTAAGTGAAGAGGGTCAGTCTAAAAGAGATTTCCTCAAGGAAGAGATCCAGATCATGAGAGGGATTGGATGTGTGAGAGAATCTCATTGCTCTATTTTTTGGTGTAGCATGGATACACCAGGCCTTGACAGAATAAGATATCACGTAAGAGTTTCTTGAAACCACTGTGCCTGAAGAAGATAGTTCAACTTTCCTGTTCACTAGATTTGCAGTGTTCATTATTTGGGGAAAATCTCTCAAAAGTAGACGTTCAGCTGACAGAAAGGGAATGAGACTGGACAGCACATTATTGCCTACAGATTAAGATAAACTAAGATTTCTTAGACATGCTTAAGATGATAAAACAAATAGCCATTAGAAACCAAAGGAAGAGGAAGACCAAGAAGATGTGAGGAAGTGTAGCTGTTGAAAATAACTGAACAGTAGCTTTCTCTGTAGTCTGTAACCCCAGTTCTCTGTGTTTTTTTTTTTTTTGCAGCTAGTTCTTGATCATAAAATGTCCTCTGAATTCTCAGCCAGCCAAATGCTTGTTGAGTGTCTTTAATGTGTCTAACAGCATCTACTGACCATTTATGTAACCTTTATCTTTCTACATTCACTTTTCTTTATTCTTGGCAATGGTGGCTGGCACAAGATACAGTATTGACAGTGAAAAGCTCATAGATCTTGAGGCCAGGCAGATTTCATGTTAAAATTCTAGCTCTGCAGTATACAGTGGGAATAATAGTATCTTTCTTCTGGATCTGTGAAGAAAAGTGCATGAGACTTTTTGTAAAGCACTTAGTGGAGTGGTTGGCAAACAGTAGGTATCCAGTGAATGGTAGCACTGCTGTTATTGTCATCATCAGGGCAAGTCCTGGATGAGAGAATGCTTTTGGAAGCTCTCAAGGAAATGGAGGGGTGATGAATGTGGGAAGGATTCAATATATTGAAAATAATGATCACTGCCAAGGCAAGCAACAGAGCTGTGATTGGAGATATGTGCCTTTCAGTCAGCTACAGAGAGTAAAGGAATCTTTGGTCAAAGCCTACCTTCTTAATGAGACTTCCCCAGACTGCCCTGTTTAATATTAAAGTCTGCCTGAAACCTATTTTAGTATTTCTAATTCTTCTACATTATTCCTTTTTCCTTTAGAGGCATCCTGTTTTAATATGCTTTATATTGTTTATTGTTTATATATCTGTATGCTGGCATACAGTAGTAATATATTGGAATTTAAACTTCCTATCTTATTTTTCATTTTGTTTTCCTGCTTGTTCTGTCTCACTTTTTATTTTCTCCATTCTCAGTGATTTTTTTTCATCACTGCATTCCCTCTCCCACTTAGTTTGGAATTTAGATACTGTGTTTCAATTCTTTTGGGAGTTACCCTTAAAATAACAACATGTGTTATGGACTTATCACAGTGTAACATTAATAAATCTCATTATCCTTATCTCAAAGGATCTGAGGACATTTTAACTATATCTTGCTGATTTATATGTTAATGTTTACATATATTTCAATTCTTGGTATATATTTTTTATTTAAGATACAGGAAGAGAGAGAGAGAGAGAGATCTCCCATCCACTGGTGCATTCCCCAAATGTTCACAACAGCCAAGGCTGGGCTGGGGCCGAAGCCAGGAATCAGAGGAATTCAATCTAGGTCTGCCATGTGGGAGGCAGGAACCCAATTACTGGAGCCATCACTGCTGCCTCCCAGGGTTTGCATTAACAGGAAGCTGGAGCTGGAGTTTGAACCTAGGTACTCTGATGTGGGACATAGGTGTCTTAACTGCTAGGCTAAAACACCTGTGCTCCAATTATTTCTGTATTAGAAACATTATCATTATTGCCTTACATAGTTGATGTTTATTTAGATTTCTCCACGTATTTATATCATATTTTGCTCTTCATTCTCTGCTGCATCCCTGACCTTCTTTTCCATTGCATTATCCTTTAGAAATTTATTTTGTATAGGTATGCTGTGACAAACTCTTTCAGTTTGTGTTTATCTTCAGTTTGCTTCCATGATTTAAGATTATTTTTTTGGGTATGGAATTGTTTGAATGGCACTTTATGTCATTTAATCAAATACATTATTCAGTTGTCTTCTGAAATCTATTGTCACTTGTCAAACTGTCACTTCTTCAAGATAATCTGTCCTTTTTATCTCTGGTAATTTTAAGATTTTTCTCTTTACTTTTCTATCATGTATCTAGGTGTAGATTTCATTTTATTAATAACTTGTAATATGTTTGATACTTTCAAAAAGATGGTGAACTGTGTGTGTGTATGCACACATGATATCCAGATTTTCTTTTGTTCTTCAGTGGGAAGGTTGGTCTAGGTTACCTGTTTATTATTTGAAGAAGAGCTCTCTTTGGTTCTTCCTTGATTCTTAGCATTGGTAGTGAAATGATATTTGTGGTTTGAGAAACGTGATATTTATTAGAGAACTAGAGAAGAGGTACTTGTCTACTAACAGGTCATCCCAAAATGTTCTTTCTTGTGCATCTGTGCCAGAAATAGCTTGTTCATCTGTCTATTATCTTTGTATGCCACAGAACTCTCTAAAGCAACTTATCTCCACTTCATAGTTTAAATAAAGTACACCCGGAGAGATTGAATAAGGGGCCTCATGTCGTAGCTAATATTGGGCACCTCCAGTATTCATGTTCATGTCTTGTGAACTCTCAAAGCCTTCCTCTATTAATTCTGTAATGGCTTTGATTTAAAGAGAAAATGTTAGTCTATCAAGGGTTAAATTGCCTTCTCTCAAGAGGACTTTTTCATGATTAAGAGATGTTTGCATCTGGAGTGTTTGTACTTCAATGTTACATGCCCATGCCAAAAGAAAGTTGTAAGTTCATTGTAAAATACTAATGTTCAATGATTCTTGGCTAGTATGTTTTTCCTATAGTCACCCAGTGGAGGACCCTAAAAAATTCACATGTTGAAACATTTTTTCTTTAATATAATATCTATGTTTTGGATGTTTTGTATCTATGCTAGATATTCTTCATACTCCTTTTCTTATTTTTTTCCTATTGATTGAAATAAAATAAAGGATTCAGTTAAAGGACAGGACATAATAATTACATATGTGTTGATCTTTAATGAATTGATGAATAATCATTAGCTAAAATGTTTCCAGTTTTATGATTTTATCTTATGTCTATTTACTGATTTAAGTTTATACAGAGTGTTGAATTCAGCATTAATTAGGAACCGTGAAATTTTTTCGTCTTGTAAGTCTTAATTGAGTTTGTCTACCTATAATTTCACAAGAAAGTGATCATGTGGATAATATAAGTAATTAATTTCCATTTAGTTATATCTTCTAGTGGTAAACTATTACAGTGATTGAGGCTCGTATTTAATCTTGCCCAATCATAGAAACGGAAAAAAATTTTTAGCTAAGAAAACATACAAACAAAAAGTTTGAATTAATTCTGAGCTAATCTTTGTCACAACTGATTTTATAAACTGTTAGGTTCAAATGCTTTCTGAATTTTAGAAGCTGTGTTTGGTTCTCTGACATTATAAAATGCTGTTTTCAAAATGCCTCAAATTTACAAGACCTGATTTAAATCATTGATGTTTTGATATATGTTAAAAGGAAAAAGTCTTCTTTTTGAATCTTAATTTTAGTAGAATGAGGAAGGGTTTTTAACTGGTAGTCAGCATCCCTAGTAATTTATTTTTAAATAAGTATTTCTTTTTTTCTTCAGATTTTTTTAACTTTTATTTAATAAATATAAATTTCCAAAGTACAACTTTTGGATTATACCGGCTTTTTGCCCCCATAACCTCCCTCCCACCTGCAACCATCCCTTCTCCCACTCCCTCTGCCATCCCATTCTTCATCAAGATTCATTTTCAATTGTCTTTATATACAGAAGATCTACTTAGTATTTACTAAGTAAAAATTTCAACAGTTTGCACCCACAGAGACACACAAAATATAGAGTACTATTTTAATAGTAGTTTTAGGAACTCCTAGTCCAGTATACTTTTGTTCCTTTGGTATTCCTCAAACCACAAAAGACTGACAAACACTGATTACTTACTTGAGACCCCAAAATTCTTTTTATTTTTTTAAAGATCTATTTATTTGAAAGAGTTACACGGAGAGAAGGAAAGGCAGAAAGAGAGAGGTCTTCCATCTGTTGGTTCACTCTCCAATTGACCGTGATGGCCAAAGCTGTGCCAATCCAAAGCCAGGAGCCAGGAGCTTCTTCCAGGTCTCCCATGTGGGTGCAGGGGCCCAAAGACTTGGGCCATCTTCTACTGATTTCCCAGGCCATAGCAGAGAGCTGGATGGGAAGAGGAGTAGTGGGACCTGAACCGGCACCCATATAGGATGCCGGCACTGCAGGCAGTGGCTTTACTCACTATGCCACACCTCTGGCCCCCAAATTCTCTTTTTATAAAGATTTTATTTATTTATTTGAGAGGTAGAGTTACAGAGAGAGGGAGAGACAGAGAGAATGCTCTTCCATCTGCTGGTTCCCTTCAAAATGGCCACAACAGTTATAGCTGCGCTGATCCAAAGCCAGGAGCCAGGAGCTTCTTCCAGGTCTCCCATGTGGGTGCAGGGGCCCAAGAGTTTGGGCCATCTTCTGCTTTCCAAGGCCATAGCAAAGAGCTGGATCAGAAGAGGAGCAGCTGGAACTAGAACTGGATCCCACATGGGATGCCAGCGCCACAGGTGGAGGATTAACCTGTGTCACTGCGTCGGCCCCTCTAAAATTCTTTTTATAAAGAAGCACAATTATTTTTTTTTTTCATTTTCGATTCTCTTTATATACAGAAGATCAGTTTAGCATACATTAAGTAAAGATTTCAACAGTTTGCTCCCACACAAACATAAAGTGAAAAATAATAGATGATTTTTTAAATGATGATGAAATCAGATCAGACCTATTGTCATGTTTAATCCCAGTGAGAGTCAAGTTGGGAATTGATAATTTCTTCTTCTTCTTTTTTTTTTTTTTTTTACAGAAGATCAGTTTAGTATACATTAAGTAAAGATTTCAACAGTTTGCACCCCCATAGAAACACAAAGCGAAATATACTGTTTGAGTACTCATTATAGCATTAAGTCTCAATGTACAGCACATGAAGGACAGAGATCCTACATGAGGAGTAAGTGCACAGTGACTCCTGTTGTTGACTTTACAAATTGACACTCCTGTTTATGGCATCAGTAATCTCCCTATGCACCAGTCATGAGTTTCCAAGGCTATGGAAGCCTTTTGAGTTCACCGACTCTTATCTTGTTTAGACAAGGTCATATTCAAAGTGGAGGTTCTCTCCTCCCTTCAGAGAAAGGTACCTCCTTCTTTGAAGACCTGAAGAAGCACAATTATTTATTTAAAAGGCAGAATAACAGAGAAGGGTGGGGGAGAGAGAGATCTTGCATCTTCTGCTTCACTCCCCCAAATGCCCACAATAGCCAAAGGTGGGCCAGGCTGAAGCCAGAAACTTCATGTGTATCTCCCATGTGGATGGCAAGAACCCAAATACTTGGGCCATCATTCACTGCGTTTCTAAGTGCATTAGCAGGAAGCTGGATCAGAAGTGGAGTAGCCAGGACTTGAACTGACAGATATGGGATGTAGGTATCCCAAGTGGAGGCTTAACCCACTGTCCCACAATGCTTGCTGCAACACCCTAAAATTCTGAGCCAGGAATCAAGGAAAACTACATATAGACCTAATGAATTAAATAGCTCCTATTTTTAACTGGATATTATTAGTCATAAAAGAACTGTAGCTTGTCTCCTAATTTTGAATAGAATAGACTCTTTATGCTACCTTCTAATGGACTTCCTTTTCAAGAACAAGACAGGCCTAGACTCACTTTTCTGTACTCCCTCCCCTACAGATACTTCTAAATGCCCTGGAAGTTATCTGACAGCAATAAAAAGGATCTGGAAGTTGGAAAGAAGAAAACAGAACAGCTAGGAAGCTCAGCACTTGAGGGCTGGCAATCATGGCGAGTTCACTGGGTTTTCTTTTAATCTCTCATGTACTCCTGGACTGGGTGCCAAAGAGGCCTGCCACCTAGAATTACCAATGGGCACAGAAAAGAAAAGGCCTGCTTTTTCTGGCCAAAGGATCAGAAAGGGGAATCCCAACAGAGACCTAATCAGAGTGTTCATTCCCCACTGTTGCATACTGGCCCAGTTTGATCTGCCCACAGCAACAGCAGGGGCAGAAAATTCCTTGGCTTTCCTAGCTATTGCTCTACAACCAGGACCCAAGCAGGTGATCTGATCTGCCAGCAACAGCAAAGAGCTGGCCATTTCAGCCCAGTTGCCAAACTCAGGCCCCTGTGGTCTGATCTGCCCAGAGCAGTGGCAAAAGGAATGTACAATCTGTGCCCTCCACTGTACCCTACTGGCCTTAGCAGGGGGTTTGTTCAATGGATAGCTGTTGGCCAGCAAAGTTATGTGTCTTCCTGGTCTCCACCCCATGACTTAAGGAGACCCAGGCACAGTAGCTTCTGAACCTTCTCCCTCAGAGTTGTTCAGTGATAGCAAGCGGCCCTGGGAAATACCTTTTGTTCCTGCAGAAGGCATCAGCAGAGATTGAGTGGGAGTCCCAACAGCCCCAGAAGAAGGAAGCAGATCAAAATATTATTGTGAGGGTACAGAAAACTAAACTGCCACTGGAACTAAGGCCAACAAAAGTAGTCTAGAACCTGTATACTAAAACTAAACCTGCTAAAATGGAATATCTAAGAGTGGGCCTAGAGGTCTCACTGGGTTTGATTCCTGGTCCTGACTTTGATTCCAGCTTTCTGCTAAAAAGGGAGAGAACGATCCAACATGGGAAGCGGGATACACAGCAGACTCCTAGAATGGCAGATGTCCTAAACAGCTCTCTGGCCTCAGAATCAGCCCTTAAGGCATTCGGATCTGGCTGAAGAGCCCATGAGAGTATTTTAGGCATGGAAAGCCAAGACACTCTAGTAAAAAAAAAAAAAGAAAACCTAAATGAAAGATCTCTGTGAGTGAGATCCCAGTGGAAAGAATGGGCCATCAAAGAAGGAGGTACTTTTCTCTGAAGGGAGGAGAGAACTTCCACTTTGCCTATGACTTTGTCTAAGTAAGATCAAAGTCGGCGAACTCAAAAGGCTTCCATAGTCTTGGCAACTCATGACTAGAGCCTAGGGAGATTACTGATGTCATAAACAAGAGTGTCAGTTTGTTAAGTCAACAACAGGAGTCACTTACTCCTGTGCACTTACTCCTCATGTAGGATCTCTGTCCTTAATGTGTTGTCCAATGTGAATTAATGCTATAACTAGTACTCAAACAGTATTTTACACTTTATGTTCTGTGTGGGTGCAAACTGTTGAAATCTTTACTTAATATATGCTAAACTGATCTTCTGTATATAAAGAGAATTGAAAATGAATCTTGCTGTGAATGGAAGGGGAGAGGGAACGGGAGATGGGAGGGTTGCAGGTGGGAGGGAAGTTATGGGAGGGAAAAAGCCATTGTAGTCCATAAGCTGTACTTTGGAAATTTATATTTACTAAATAAAAGTTAAAAAAAAAAAAAGAGGCAGTGGATATGGCTCAAGTAATTGGGTGCCTGCCACTCATGTTAAAGATCTGCCTCCTGGCTTCAGCCCCAGCCCAGATACTCTTTCTCTTTTATCTTTTCTCTCTTCTCTCTTTTCTCTTCCCTCTTCTCTGTCTCCCTCCCTTCCCTCTCCCTCTCTACTCTTTTGTCTCTCAAATAAATATGTAAAAATTGTGAAAAGTAAAATCTAAGATGCTATGATCAAGAGTCTCCTGACAAGAGCCAAAATACTGAGGACACAATTGAAAACCGCAATTTGAATGAGAAAAGACTTTCAACTGATGCCAAAATTGAGTTGAATTAGATACTGGAATTATCCGATGAGGATTTTAATTTAGCTGTCATAAAATTGTTCCAACAATCAGTTGCAAATTTTCTTGAAACAAATGAAAAGATGGACAATCTCGACATTTCCTAATCATTTAAAATTGGAATGTGAGAGAAAGAAAGGGGTCAGGAATGGCGCTGAAATTTTTGGTTAATGTATTGGAAGGAATACGGAGTTCCTTCAACTGTGGCATGCAAAGAGGAGCTGAGCAAGCTCAGGATTTCACTTAGATGTTTTCACACCTGTGGAGGCCCTCTCTTCTTGTCCTTGCTTTATTGTGCACCTCATTGATGAAAAGGAATTCATCATATGAGGGTTGAAAGACTAGTCCACTTTTGGTAAACTGGTTACAAGTGAGCATTACTAACTTGCATAATCTTTGTAACATGTAGGAGCTTTTATGTCTTACCTAACTCTAAAAATTCCCAAAGTGTTTCAATATTTGATTAATAATATATTGCCTAAACAGTTACGCCTACTATCTACTCTTACTTTCAGATTCTTTTCCAAGAGCAATTATTTTTAGTCCTAGAAACTGATTACTACAGTTATGATTCGAAATGTATTTCGTGCTGCCCTGCCCTGAGTTGGATAATTGGGTGTAAATAGTTATTTCCTTTTCATGCTGTGCCTTTGTATTATTCTTTCTTTTTCTTATTCTTTTTATACTTATTTTTTTGTTTGGTTAAAAGACCAGAGGTTACATTATTGCCTGCTGAATATGCTTGTATTAACAATTGTAAAAAAGTAAATTACTTTTGGGAGAATTAATAAATAGATGTTTAAATTGCATAGTTAAATCTTTTCCATTCTTCACTAAGCAAACAATTAGATTACCCCCTTATAAGAGTTTAATTAACAATTTATATCCCATGTTTGGATCAGAAAATATTTGTTACAGAAAAAAGTCATTTAAGATCTGAATCTTAAGCCATTACAATTTCATAATTTGTATTTGTATTGTTTGTTATTATTATAAATATTAGAATTTAGACCATTGTGTCCAAAGTGCTTGTCAAGGAACACTACTGAATAATAGGTGCTCTGGGTGATAAGCAAGATGGTTGTTTCTTAACCACAAGACTACACTGCTAATATGTAATATTAGCAAGTGGGATATGCAGAGGGTAAGTATTTTATAGGGTGTTTCCAAGACATACTTCACAAAAGCTTTCACTTTTTAAGAACTCCACAAGAAGCCATTTTGGGAAAGCTGGTTTTGGAGTGTTAGCTAATCACATTTTTGTTTCTTATAGTTTAATTTTTGCATAACCCTGATGCAACTAAAATGAATATTAGAGAATGGAGTGTTGGCTGGCTTTGAGATTCTGTTCATCAACGTCTTGAATTTAACTTCCATAACTTAATTTTATTTGATTTAAAAAAGTTATTTCTATAGTAAATATTTTTGGTTCCAGTTTTTGATATATAGGCCCACATTTAGAAAATTATAAATAGGAAAATGTGAATGTGTAGCTCTTAATTTAGAAATGAAAAGTATGCTTTTCTTGGGACAGTCTTGAGAGGAGTGAGGGAACCCCTGTGTGTGTGTGTGTGTGTGTGTGTGTGTGTGTTGTGTACAGCAGACCTGGCTAGGCATCTGGTCTTTGTGTTTATAATTCTGCAAGATTTGGTGCATCAAGAACTTCCTTTTACCATTTGTTCTTTTTTTCTCTCTGAGCTTCTTGGAGTTTTTCTGTGGGGATATTCCCAGCAATCCGTTGGAGAAGGATTGGAGATTATGCTGATGTTTCCTGGGGCTCCGTCCTCTGTACTCTTTAAGTGCTTTCATTTACAGTGATGGATCTGGTACCTCCTGTTCACCTGTACTTCCTAGAAGTGTAGATTAAGAATTTAGATTTTAGAGTTTCCGTGTCTCACTCCAGTCCGCAACCTATTTTAGCTTCAGTTTCCTAATCTATAAAATAGGGGCTAATATTACATTAGCTATAAGGATAAATATCGATAAATGATTATAAATAATGGATCTATGTAAGGTTCTTAGCAGCTTGTTTGACACATGGTATGTCATAAATGGTAGTTGTTAGTATGTTCATCAACATATATATGTTGGCCCCATTCCTTGAACTTTATATTCTTAACTGCCTATTCCTGAATGTTCCATGGAAATCCATATTTTCCAAATGCAACCATGTGTTTCCTTTCTTAGCCTTCTACCAGATTTTTTTTCTATAGTCACTCTTTCAGTTGGTAGTATCATTATTTACCCAGTAAGTTGCCAAAAATCAAGCATTCTTTCAACATACACCCAACCACGCCATAGCTAATGACTTACTCATTGTCAGTTTATTTTCTTAAATATCTCTCAGTTACCTATACTATATTGCTTTAGCTGTTTATCAACTCTTGCTTGGGCTAATGTAATAACTTATTGACTAGTCCCCCACCCACTCCTCAATCCAACCTATATTCTTTTCCCACTGTGATATTTGTTCCTCTTTTTTTTTTTTACTGTTTATTTATTTTTATTTATTTGAAAGGTAGAGCTAGAGTGAGAGCGAGTGAGAAAGAATGCTTCCATCCTCTGGTTCACTCCCCAAATGCCTGTAGCAGTCATGCCTGGGCCATGCCAAAACCAGGAGCCAAGAACTCCATCTGGGTCTCCCGTGTGGGTGGCAGGGATTCAAGAACTGGAGTCATCATCTTCTTCCTCCTAAAATTCACATTAGCAGAAAACTGGGTCAGAAGCAAAGGCAGGACTTGAGCCCAAGCACTCGAATGTGGGGTGTGACCACCAGAAATGGTTTCACCTGCCATGCCACAACACACTCCCTGGCTCTCTATTCTAATCACTTATCACCCTCTAGTTTTTCTTTTTTAAAAAAAGATTCATTTATTTATTTGAAAGGTAGAGTAACAGAGAGAGAGAGAGAGAGAGAGAGAGAGAATCTTCCATCTGCTGGTTTACTGCCCAAATGGCCACAACGGCCGGGGTCAGGTTTGAAGCCAGGAGCCAGGAGCTTCATCCGGGTCTCCTATGTTGGTGCAGGAGCACACTTCCATGGGGCATCTTCCACTGCTTTCCCAGGCTCATTAGCAGGGAGCTGAATCTGGAATGGAGAGAGAGCAGCCAGGACACGAACTGGTACCCATATTGGACGCCAGCATCACAGGCAGTGGCTTAACCCATCACGCTGCCATGCTGACCCCTTGTTTTTCATGTCAGCCATACCAAATTGCTTGGAATACCCTGCACACACCACATTTTGAGTTGACTCTGGGGTAGGCCATCAAACATGTTATTGCCTACTTCTAAAGTCTTCCCCTTTCTCTTGTTGGTGTGAAATACTCCTGTTCATCATTCCAAGCCCTGCTATATACCCTTGTCCCAAATGGAGGCCTTCTCTGACCACCTTCCTATCCACCAGTAAGAAACTTTAGTATTACCTTTTTCAGTACTTTGTCCTATACCATTATACTAAAGATATGTATATATACCAACAGCAGTCTACTAGATTAGGAGTTCCCTGAGGGCAAAGATTGCTTTATTAGTGTTTTTTGTTCCCTTATATTTTCTGAATTTTGTCTTATTTCCATTGGGGAAAATTAGATAAGTAAGATCCAATATACAAATGTCAGTAGAATTATTTGGTATCAGTTTTTCAATACCTACTTGTGAAAGTTCTTTATATGTTTAGCTAAGAAGGCCTCAACATGTGCAACCAAGTCAGAGTTCTTTGCAATGTTTTTACCTTGTAGTTCTTCATGTTATTTTGCTCATATCTTATGCTTTATCTGTTCTTCCTCTTCCCATTTCTGATGTAACAACAATCTTTTTTTTTTTCCTTCTCTTAGCAATTCTCCTTAACCTTTGCTCCGTTGTATACGTGCTAACAAAGACCTGGGGTCGTAACTAATCCCAGCTCCCTCTCCCCCCACACCCTATACAATACACACACACACACACACACACACATTTTCCAGAGTCTTTGCTCTGAGAAATATTGCTGGAGATGATATCCAGTCTTCTCATAAAAGTAGTGAATCACAACTGAATCATATGTAGACTCAAACCAGAGGATGCTATGATATGTGAAATCTAAAGCAAGGTCTACCAAACCTT